GTCCATGGAACAACAGTTGTTCCCATTGTGAGTGTGATGGCCCCAGAGAAGCTGTCCGCCAGCACTAGGAGGCGGTATGAAACTCAGGTACATGGTCAGTTTCCTGGGCTCTCTAATGTGAGCTGCAAAGGAGGAAGAAAACGAGAAAGGAAAAGAAAGTTTCCTGGAAATGCTTTTCTTCCCTCTTCCCAAACTTGGTGGCTGGAGAAAATTTCACCAACACAGAGGACCTCTGGGGCCAGGATCCTGTGCCATTTGTCCTCCAATGGCATCAGTGTACACTGGGCCCTAGAAGCAGCCATTGTCACAATTACTGGATCTAAACAAAAATTTCCTGATCTGGGTCTAATAGCAAATGGGATTTGTTTTTGTTGTAAACAACAGAGCAGAAGAGATCTGTCTACAAAACTTGAGGCAGGTTTCTCACTGCTGCTTACATGTTTTTGGTATCTGCTTTGTGCCTGATTCTGTGCTAAGTGCCAGGTGAGACAGAAAAGGTATGGCATGGCCCGAGTCCTTGAAGAGTTTATAACCTTAGAAGCACACACATTATATAGCTGGAGAACAATAGAAGGAATAAGTAATATTCCTTATAGCTAAGTAATAAGATGCTGAATTAAACTGAATGCATGTTAGAGTATGCTGCAGCCATAGGGGAGAGACAGATCAATGTTGGCAAGGATGATCAAGAAAGGCTTTGTGGAGGTGATCCCTGAAGGAGGGACAGTAGGACGGGCAGTACAGACAAGGCTAATGAGCACAGTCAGGACACTTGTGTCACTTAGGAACTGGTGAGGGTTAGAGAGCGTCATTATTCAGAAATGGAATTAGATTGAAATACAAAAGGTCAAGTTGCCTCATTTTGTAAGCTTTCCTGGCTATTTCTCAGGATGTTGGGTGAAAACTCATTTTTTCCTTTCTATCATATTTCAGTTCCATGTTCTCATTGCTGTCACCTTCCCCCTTTTCTAAGTTTAGCTTAATGCTAAAATCTTTTACATGCATTTTTTGTATATATATTTTAACTGAAGTATAGTCAGTTTATAATGTGTGTCCATTTCTGGTGTACAGCATAATGCTTCAGTCTTACATGAACATACATATATTCGTTTTCATATTCTTTTTCA